TCTGGTATTATGTAAAACCACTCAAAACTGATTTTTAATAAATTATTCGGTATTTAGAGCTCTTATTTAACATTTTTTTACATTTTGAGCCAAAATGATCGGAAATGTGTATATTATTCATCCATATGCCGACTATAGCAAAACCTTAAAAATGTTTGTTCCAAAGTACGGCATTGATAAAGATATCATAATAACAAATATTTTTTAATAATTTTAAATTCTAAAGTATTCTTATTGTGAAAAAAATATAATTTTAATATAATTTAAAATCGACATGTCCACTAATTTTTTCTTAAACAACATTGACAAAATGCCACATTTTGGCTGAATAAATGTACTTAGCTTAATGAAATTTTACGCTGATATAGTTTGCAATATTATTGAAAACTATTCAAGGTATATTTTTATATTTGGTTATAGGTTTTTTAGTTACTTGAAGTTATATGCACCAGATGCCGACTATTGGTACATGCTGACATTAGGAGCACTTACCCCATTAACTGTCCAAAATATATTTTTTCTAAATATCCGTAATGCTCCAAATACAATATTTGTAAATATGGAATTGTATTCAGTTGTAAAAATCAGCAAAACACTGTTGAATTTGACAAATTTTTACTCGAAGAACGAAAATTTTTTGTATGTAGATGTTATTGTAAAGCACTTACTACCTTGATTTGAATAAACACTGTAGTGTTCATAAATGATAATAAGAAAAAATAGAAATCTCTTTTAAAATTATCGGCCTTTCAAACGTTAAACAAATTAAAAATATTGTTGGAAACGTGGGTATTAATATAACACCTAAAAAACAAACAAACAAAAAAATAATAATAATTAATTTGAACGTAACTCTACGTTAAATGTATTTCTTAGACATTTTCTTATCATAAAGTTGATACCTATGGGATTTATATTACAAAATGAATGATTAGAATTTCAATTTCAAATTCAAATGAAATCGGTTAGTCTAAGCGTACTTTTTACACTATGAGTCTTGAGAGTTGTTTCTCTTTCTCAATGGTAAATTGAGAGTAGAGTTGGAAAACATTGCCACAGATAGGAACAAAAAGTACTAAAAGGTACCATAAATTCCACTTCAAATGATAATAAATCATAATTATTGAGAATTATTGGCCAATATTTATACCAATTATTTGCATTAAAAATATATGTTATAATTTAATAGTAAATGTATTCACGAATAATATAAAAATCTACTTTTTGTTTTGGTATGTTCATGTAAATTCGTGCCTTTTGTGAACAAAAAGTAAGTTTGTTACAAAATTAAAAATAGCGCAACTCTAATTACTCTCAATTTACCATTAAGAAAAAAACTCTTATGACGAATGCCCATGATAAAAGTACGCTAAGTAGTTGTAGATACGGTTTTGTGGTAGCAGTTATGTGTATGACGTACATTACTAAAAAATAGCGGCTAAAATAATTCCACAATATTCAGACAGTTCTCGGTGTACCCATACTTCAGTGGTGTATCCATGCTCTAAAATTATTTCAATGTAAAAATTATAATTATTTAGGAATTATTACTCTGTGTTGCCTATGACCTATGTTATTGTAGACAGTATTCTCCAGGTCTGCAGAGTCTGGGCCCAAGAATTTTACAGTTTATAAGAGGACTCATGCTCCTTATAATGGAAATTGATTTAGTTTTGGAATGAGTACCCATTCCAAAATTAAGAGTTAAAGCCCGCACTAACCAGACAAACCGAGGTTCGGACACTAAATCGATTACAAATTGTCTGAAAGGGATTTCGTTCAATGAAACTTGGGGTCTAATATTTGATATATATATCGTAATTAATTAGAAAACCTGTACGACGGACTATTAAGTTTCTTAGAATTCACATTTCAATTTGAAACAGACGGCTAATTTAATGCCGTAGAGTTATCGAGGTCATTAAAGATATACATATAATTGTATATTTCAAAAAAAAAAAAAATTGTATATTTTCAGAATAGTCAACACAAGAGAGATAAACATTGTTTTAATTAGATTTATATTGTAAAATGTTGTTCCCATTTTCAAATCAATTTTTATACCCTTCACCACACTGTGGTACAGGGTATTATGTCTTTGTGCATATGTTTGTAACAGGCAAAAATAATCGAGATAGACCCATGGTTCCTTTTGAGAATATGCATAGAATCACTTTCTGAATCGATTTATGCATGTCCGTCCGTCCGACCGTCTGTCCGTCGCATTTATGATCCGATTTGGATGAAATTTGGCAGAGCTCTTTTGTTTGGCCCAAGGACGAACCCTATTGAAATTGGGAAAAATCGGTTCAGATCTAGATATAGCTCCCATATATATTTTTGCCCGATTTACGGACTTTAGACCCTGAAAATCTTTCGATTTGCACGAAATTTGGCATAGCGTACTGAATTGAGCCACGAAAGATGTGTGCCAAGTTTCGTGAAAATCGGTTCAGATTTATATATAGCTCCCATATATAGTTTCGCCCGATTTACGGACTTTAGACCCTGAAAATCTTTCGATTTGCACGAAATTTGGCATAGCGTACTGAATTGAGCCACGAAAGATGTGTGACAAGTTTCGTGGAAATCGGTTCAGATTTAGATATAGCTCCCGTATATAGTTTCGGCCGATTTTTGGTAAATGGCGTACCAAAGTCCCTATATATCTTTAGATTTGCACGAAATTTGGCATAGCGCACTGAATTAAGTCTAGAATGATGTGTGCAAAGTTTCGTGAAAATCGGTTCAGATTTAGATATAGCTCCCGTATATATCTTCCTCCGATTTAAGGTAAATGGTGTACCAAAGTCCCTATATATCTTAAGATTTGCACGAAATTTGGCATAGCGCACTAAATTAAGTCTAGAATGATGTGTGCAAAGTTTCGTGAAAATCGGTTCAGATTTAGATATAGCTCCCGTATATATCTTCCTCCGATTTAAGGTAAATGGTGTACCAAAGTCCTTATATATCTTTCGATTTGCATGAAATTTGGCATAACGTACTGAATTGAGGCTAGAATGATGTCTGCCCAGTTTCGCGAAAATCGGTCCAGATTTAGATATAGCTCCCATATATAGTTTCGTCCGATTTCATGTTAATGGTGCCCCAAAGTCCCTATATATCTTTCGATTTGCAGGAAATTTGGCATAACGTACTGAATTGAGCCTAGAATGATGTCTGCCCAGTTTCGAGAAAATCGGCCCAGATTCAGATATAGTTTCGTCCGATTTCATGTAAATGGTACACCAAAGTCCCTATATATCCTTCGATATATTTGGATAGAGCTTCCACATATATTTTCGCCCGATTTTAAGTAAATTGGACATCAAACTCTTCATGCTAGTCAGGTTGACATCAAATTTTGCACAACGTACAAAATTGAGCATAGAATTACGTAGTTGCGTTTTCTAGAAGTACAGACATAGCCCAACAGATAACCTATTTATATTTGATTGAAGTCGATTTATATAACTTATGGATATATAGGTAGATTCACATTTAGATAAATATCACATATTTTATTTCATCCAATTGCATGTTAATAGTCCTGTTTAATATATCCATAGTGGTGAAGGGTATCATATAGTCGGCCCCGTCCGACTTTACTACTTTCCTTACTGGTTTTCCAATGAAGATTAATGCATTATTTTTGAAAGTGAAAAATTGCGAATAGCAATGTGATAGTATTGACATTTTTATTAAATATTTTGTCCAGAAAATTGTAATAAGTTTTAGAAAACGAAAGTAAATACAAATAAATTGTTTATTCAATTTAATTTTAAACTGCTAAAAACATTTATACAATTGACAAAACTAGTTTGATTAGAGATTTTCAAAATTCAAAATATTTTTTACCATTTCATAATCTAAAAAAATTATTCATAGTATGTATAATTATGCAAGGTTGTCTCTTTTGAATGCGACACAATCTCGTATAAATTTTTATTGAATTCACTTTGACATGAAAACTCATTTTAAAAACGTTAGTTTCTTGCGATAATTTAATTTAAATAAAATTTATTTTTTTTAATTCAGTTTGAATTCGACAGAAAAATATTGCAATTTATTCTTTTTGGTAAACATTTTATGTCAGGAACAAATTCAAGCATATATCAACAGTTTCACTTATATTGAAATTTTGAACCCAATTCCATTTTATTCAATACTACCACTTCACTATTTATTATATTTATTTCATTGTACTTCGCAAAGAAGCATTTTTGGAAATGGTCGAAACACCGTGCGATATACACGGGTGTGTTTGTACAGAGGCTTGACTGACATTATTTAACCAGTGCACCCCACTACCCTAAAACTATATCGGATGTCAGCGATATCTAGCAATAAAATTGTTCTTTATACGGCAAACAATATCAGTTGTAATCAGATTTGTATTCAGAAAGATTATCTTTTAATAAGCGTATACAGATATATGTATGTGTACACTACAAATATACATAACTACGTACGTACGTACATAGATACATTTGTATGTCTGTAAATAGGAAGATATTTATTTTGCATTATTCTGCAATCGTTCAGACAGCTTAATTTTGCTGTTTTCTTTTAACGCCTACAGAATGCATTGCATTAAAAATGCTGATAAGGAAGACTCGTGCATATATGTTTTTTTCTCAGTTCGACATGAGATTGAAAGTAAAAACCAAAAAAGGTATGTTTGTAATTGAATTATTTTATTAAAAAAAATTGGAGTGATTGTATTGTATTATCGATAAGTGTGTATATTTGGGTATATGTAGGTATAAATATAATTATTGCAATTAACCGTAAACGAACTTATGCAATTAAACTTGTAACAAAATACAACCGTTTGTAGCGATTTTTTGTGCACGTGTATGCATGTATTTTTGTGTACGTGTATCATAACAGATTGACATTACATACATATAGTGTATACAGATTATATTACAGATTTCAAACATTTGAAACGAAGTATCAGTCTTAAGGTTAAACAACGTCGCCCCGGCATGACGTCCCCTATTTATGCACTTGATGAACACTTTGCGCTCGGCCAGAAGGATCTTCGGGACAACCCCAGTCACGTCGTGGTACCCATCGCGTAACTGTCTTCGCAGCACTTTCACCCGGAAATATTTCTTCGAATATGCTGCGATAATAGAAGGCCTCTTTTGTCGTGGGGGTGTTTGTTGGATATTTTTCCGGCGCTTTGGCGAATTCGGCATCTGAAACATGTTCCGTTGCTACACGTCGTATGGTGTCGATCCAGTTGTAACCAACGCCGTCTGAAAACTGTTCTTTTTGTCGCCACAAAACTTGATCCGGCAAATAGCCATCGGCAAATGCTGCCCGTAGTATGTGCTTTTCAATCCGATACTTTTGTTGGTCTTCGAAGCAATTGAGTTCGCCCGGTATTTTGTCTTGGGGTCTCACCGACATCACATAGTTGACAAATGCCGTATCTAGGAATGGAACTCGCAGTTCAATACCTTTGGCCATTGCCACTTTATTGGCCCGCAAACAATCGGACAGATGGAGTTGAGAGACTCGCTTTACCAACTCCTCGTGGAAGTCCGTATAGTTGGGGGCGTTAAAGAAATACAAATATCCACCGAAAAGTTCGTCGGCGCCTTCGCCGGAGAGTATCATTTTAATGCCGGTACTTTTGATATACCGTGTCAGCAGGAGCATAGGCAAACTGCAGCGAACTGTCGTCACATCATAGGTCTCCAGGTGAAAGATTATGTCACGAATGCCGTCTAGCGCAACTTCTATTTCGAAAATTACTTCTTTGTGGTCGCTGCCAATATAATCGGCTACCATGCGAGCTGCTCCGAAGTCTGGAGCATTTCGTAGCCCAACGGAAAATGTTTTCAGGCGATAGTTGGGATCACGTTCCCGCATGATTTTCGTTGCCATGGAAGCAATCAAACTGCTGTCTACACCACCCGAAAGTAGGGCTCCAAAGTGGACATCGCAGTGTAAATGCGATCGAACTGCATTCTCCAAAGTTGTCCTCAGTTGACACAACTCGGCAGGGATTGATGGCGTTTTATACATCCACGTCGGCTGGAAATAGGTTCGCCTAACTAAGTTGTCTGCCTTGCCGTAACGCAACTCGCCTGGCGGAAAAGCCTCCACCTTGGGGCACACATCTACAATGCACTTCAGTTCGGATGCCACCCAGATATTACCATCGACGTCCTCGCCAATATACATGGGTATTATTCCAATTGGATCCCGGGCAATCAGAATAGTCTTTTCTCGTTTATCGTACAGAACAAATGCAAACATTCCGGTTATGTGATCCAACAAGAGTTCACCGTACTCCTCATACATCTCGATAATGACACTGCAATCGCTTTTCGGTTTGTAGTGTCCGCGTCTCTTGGCAATTTCCGCAGACAACTCCAGATAATTGTATATCTCGCCATTCGCCACCATGACAACATTTTCGTTCTCCGAATAAAGAGGTTGGTGTCCCGTTTCCACGCCTACAATCGCCAAGCGTTCGTGTATCATAAGGACGCCGTGGTCTGGTAGACAACAGACCCCGGTATAATCAGGACCTCGATGTCTTTGTTTGCCACTCTGCCGATATCCAATTTCGCGCAGTGTATGGACGCGGCCGTGATATAATTTCGGATGGATACATTCTCCATCCTTGGAGAAAATAGCAAATATTCCACACATTGCTGTTAAGCGGTTTTGATGTTCGTTGTTTCGAATTAAACGACTATTTTTGTTTTTTGAACCAATAGATAATAATAACGCGAACAGACACAATTCCGAACTAAACACACACCAGTCGCGTGTCAAGTTCAATGCTTACTAAAGTTGTTTCAGCGCTGTAGTCGCCTTTTTAAAGAAGAAGATTCACACCGGCCAGACAGCGTATTGCTTGATTGTTCGTTTATCTGTTCCGAATGTCTCTTTCCAGTTTCGAGAGTGGCGTTAACGTCTCGAATGAGCGGGCAGTGTCTGAGCATGATATCTTTCTTGACAATATTTCATCAGACAATTGGCTGGGACGAAACGGAGAATTTCTGTCTCTCACCCCCATTGAATGTTGAACGCCACAAACATATTTTACATAGTTCATATGTACTTATGTGTGTTTGTATGTTTGTAGGTATGTGTGTGCGTATTTATGTTCTGGCATATCTTTTGATTAACATTTCTCAGTGCAAATCACGTGAGACTGTTGTTGGCAGACTCGGCAGTTTATTTGAATTATTTGCACGAACAGGGGGACTTTCTTGATGACTCGACATATATACAATGTGTTAAATTCGAATTTAGACTATAAGAACTAACACTAGAAAGATATAATTGAATACTATTGACAGTTATCTTGCAATAAGAAGCAATTGAACTGCAACGGCTTAACACTTCGGAATTTAGATTTCTGTAAGTGGGAATCTTCAAAAAATGCCATAGCAACAAAAACTTTTTTTAATAGTAGTCCGAAGCACTATGGACAAGAGATCCCATTTTTTTGGCCATAATTAGAGCGGTACGGTGATTAAGATTCTGCAAGAAAAAAAAGTAAACTAAATAGCGGTATTTATACCCTACACAACTATGTTGTCAGGGTATTATAGCTTTGTGCAGCTCCAAAAGTTTGAAACGCCGCGAAATATTGGTCCTAGACCCACCTTTAAGTATACCGATAGTCATATCTCGTCTAGCTGAGTCGATCTAGACATGTGTGTCCGTCCGTCTGGCCATTATAATCTGTAAACACGATACATGCCACAGTTATGGACCAATCTTCACGAAATTTTGCATGTAGGATGGGTACTGACCAATGAAGACCCCTATTGTTTTTGGGAAAGATCGGTTAATATTTAGGGGATGAAATGAACCAAATACTAAATTTTTGTCCTTTTTTCTGGTCGCTCCAGAGGCCGCAATAATGGCCCGAACATCGTGAAATTTTGCATGGAGAAGGGGATCGGGCCAAAGAATAAGCATGCCTATTTTGATAAAGATTGGTCAATATTTAGCGGGTCAAATGGACCCTGACTTTTGTGTGAAAAATGACAAAATTTGTATTCTATAGCGTATATATTTGTCCCTGAAGGACATAGACCCGAGAAGTTGATATTATATCCAAGAGGAGTGGCTGACCTTTAAATTAATACCAATAATATTGTTGTATGAGCTCGGATGTGGGAGTTACACCCAAATGTTTACAGGTATCTCCGTATTCGTATATTATTTAGTAACATATTACCATAATGGAGGGCGGAAATATAGCGCTCGCGAAATATTGCCCAATCTCAGAATATAGAACCACCGAAATTTAGATTTTCATGGAAGTTGTGTAGGGTATCGTATGGTCGGCCCCGTCCGACTATACTGCTCCGCTCACTGGTTTTTAATTGTAGTAATCAAATTATTTTTGAACACGTTTGTAAAGATATGGCCACTGATTACAAATGTGAAATCAGATTTTGAAAATCAAATAAAATGGCGGATCAAACATAATAAAATATTAAATATTTCAGTTTTTAATATAAAAATAACATTAAATCATTTATATAATATGGGCATAAAAATTTGGTGAAAATACCGACTAATGGGAAGTCCGTTTACATGGGGCCTACACCGAAACTTAAGTCAATAAATATTGGTTTTTGGTTCGGATATTTCACAACCAATTAGAATTCAAAATACTAAATTACACGTTTATGTATACACGTCTACGTATATTCGACCATTTTCATATTTTTTGCAATAACATTATGAACTGTTGCAGCCGGTCGCAAAATTCTGCACAGAGAACATATCAAGGTGTTAATTGGTGCTATAATCATTAAAATATCTTTTTGCACTATGTTCGGGAACTCATTTTTTTTAAATAGTGTTTGTATGTTTTAAATATATTATGTAAATTTTTCATATATAAATTGTATTCACAAAGAAATGAAATTTTGGACTTGACCCAATGTCATTTGTAAACCGCGACTCACAGTGGTATAAAATTTTACGGGTGGAAAGCTCAAATTTTCCAGATTTTAAATATATAACGAATTTTTCTTTATACCTGAAATGGACTTTTTGCTAAAAAATGGTTTCGTGGCCCATAGTGCGAAGGTAATAAAGGTTCAACTTAGAAAAATTAATGCATCCTTAAAAAATTCTAGCGAAAATCTTAATTACTCTTGAAGATATAGCCGATTTATTGTGTCGGCATGGCGGGCACACAACTCAAAACTAATAAACCAATACGTTCCAAATATGAATACGATATTCTGATATTCGTATGAATTAGAATAAATATAATTGGTCAAGATCTTTCTTATTTTCAAGCATGGTTTCTAGTCGAAAATTGAAGATTGTTTCAAAAAATAATTTTCCAAGGTCCTCCATTTTGCTAATTTTCAAGCGAAGTCAATAAACTTAGTTCTTAACAGAGCCTGATATGTACTCTTTCAAAAATCATCATCTTTTCGACGGCGGAGAAAAGAGGGGCATTTATTTAATTGCAAAAAAAAAAAAAAACAACAACAAAACAATCTTGACACTCGAAATTCGGTATGCTGCTGCAGCGCCCTGTCAAGAATATCCGTTGTAGCAACGTCCAATTTTCGGTATTTACGTATTATATCTTTCCAATATTACACCAATGTCAGGTGCGTATACGATTTTTCACTTTTTATTTCGAGAAGGAATATCAGAATTTATAACAAATTGGGAATCCGAAATGCCAAACTACCCTCTAAAATACTTAATTCCTTGTTTGAATTAACTGTGGATAGATATTGATAGTATGTTTTAGTATCAAAGTCAAAACATTGGTGCAATGCTAGCTGGACATCATCTAATGAGTACTTTCACTTTTTGAACCTTTCAAGTTCGAAAATTTTAAAATCCCCGTCTTATCACACTTTTCTGCCCGACTGTGACCCTCATAAAAATGTTTATAATAAAATCATTGAATGTTTTGAATGTGTAATCAACTTACTCTACTCTTTCATAAATTTTGCACATACAATATAGATAATACAGAACGGAGATCAGGCTAAGTTTGGCATATTTAGGTTAGACTAAGAACAGCATATTGCAAATACCCAAAAAAATAATTTTGCAAAATGTCAGGATGATTATAGTATGTTTATTAGGGTTATGACTGAAATTAAAAACGATATCATATTGTAGGAATGAAATAACTTATTAACAAAATGAGACATTGGTCATAAACGGCATTTACATTAGAACTTTTTTCCGGGCTAACCTACTTTGTGAGGATTTATTTGAAATATATTCAAAGGAATTGACAATTTAAACCCACTGGGTTAACATAATCCGGTACAATGTAAACGTACTAATAGAAATCGATGGACATTAGACTGCATTCTTTGTAAGGAGCACTGAACCCTCTTTGATTTTCACTATTAAAGATATTTCGTGGGATACAAACGGTTGTGCCATTTTATGTGCAGCTGTAATGCTTGCGGGTATATTAGGTTACAATTAAAACAAATTTTAAAATTCTCATAAATAAAAAACAGTTTTTTTATAGAATCTCCTAATCATTAAGATTTTATCACATGTAAAACTCTTTAAAATATGATACTTCGATATAAGATGCAACCTTATAGTCATAATAATAATTTAAAACAATTATATTATAGCTTGAAAAAAAATCTCGATAATAGGAACCCTATTATCTTTTAACTCATAATTACACTTTAAACAATAGAAATTCTTTTATAATATTGTTTAATGTAAAAAAAAATTAAAAATAAAATATATGTTTTTAATAAATTTACTAACCCAACCCAACAATTTTGCAAAATGTCAGGATATTGTCACCAAAACTGTAGTTTTTAACTTTATAGTCAAATATAAAGTGCTGTGCGATACTCAGAACCCATCGTTCACCTAATACGCCCATTAAAATGTTTTGATCAGATATTCTAATTATTAAATATTTTTAATATCAATAATTATTAAATTCTTAATTCATTAGTTTCCCACAGGTTCTTAACAATATTCCTTTAGCCTCTTCTCGTGGGCTTCTTGGGCTCTTCCAGATGGATCCTCGGGACAACCCCAATCCAGACGTGGCGCCCATTTTTCAACAGATAACGCCGGCGAGTCGCCTGGAAACATTTCGTCAAATATACATCGATAGTAGTAGGCCTCTTTCGTCTTTGGTGGATTAATGGGAAACCGCTGAGAGGCGTTACTAAACTCTGAGTCTGTAACACGCTTAGCAGCAAACTTGGGCAATGCTTCAATCAAGTCATAGCCCACGCCATCGGAAAATTGTTCTTTTTGCCTCCACAGCACCGCAGGTGGCAAGTAGTCACTCTCAAAGGCTTTGCGTAAAATGTACTTTTCCATGCGATGGCTTTGAATGTCGGAATAACAATTTAATGGCCCTGGTATTTTGTCTTCGGGTCTAGTGGACATAACATAATCGACAAAGCTGGTATCGAGGAAAGGAACTCTCAGTTCCAAACCTTTTGACATGGTCACTTTATTGGCCCGTAGAATATCCGACACATGCAGCTGGTCAAGCCGTGTTACCATCTCTTTGTGGAATTCGTGGTATGTTGGCGCCTTGAAAAAATATAAATATCCCCCAAAGATTTCATCTGCCCCTTCGCCGGAGAGTATCATTTTCATGCCCGTACTTTTGACATAACGTGCCAAATAGAACATGGGTAGGCTGCAGCGGACAGTGGCGATGTCATAAGACTCCAAGTGGTAGATAAGATCGCGCACCCCGTCAAGGCATTCTTCAACAGTGAAAACTACTTCGGTGTGATCACTCCCAATGTAATCGGCCACCATACGGGCGTGTTTGAAATCCGGGGAACCTACCATACCGACGGAGAAAGTGCGCAGGCGATAGTCAGGATCTAGTTCCCGCATAATTTTCGTCGCTATTGAAGCAATCAGGCTAGAGTCTAATCCGCCCGAAAGAAGTGCACCAAATGTTACATCACATTGCAAGTGGCTGCGAACTGCATCCTCTAAGCGTCTTCGTAATTCATCCACATCCGCTGCTCGGTTTGGTATTTCAGTTTGCCACGGCCTCATATAGAAGGGCTGAGGGTTTACGCTTGTCGGATCTCCAAAGATAAAATGGCCAGGTGGAAAATTCTTAACACTTTTGCAATATTCAATCATACATTTCATTTCGGATGATATCCACAAATTTCCCTCCAAGTCCTGTCCAATATAAAGTGGCATTATGCCAAAGGGGTCGCGAGCAACCAGGACACGTCTCTTGTTTTTGTCGTACAGAACGAAGGCAAACATACCCGTGATGTGATCAAGCAAACGTTCTCCGTATTCCTCATACAACTCAACAATGACATTACAATCGCTTTTAGGTTTGTAGCCGGGACGGTTTTTGGCTATGTGGTCACTTAATTCCAAGTAATTGTATATTTCCGCGTTAGCTATAAGTGCCACATTACCATCTTCCGAAAGCAGTGGCTGATGACCCGTTTTTACGCCAATGACGGCAAGTCGTTCATGAACCAAGGCAACGCCATGTTCGGCAATTATTTTAATGCCCGTCTCGTCTGGACCCCGATGTCGTTGTTTGCCACTCTGGTGATAGGCCAGTTCACGCAATGTCTGCGAACATCCGCAATATGTCCTCGGCAGGATACCCCGACTATCCTTCGATAGTATAGCAAATATACCGCACATAGTATCTCGACTTTTAGTTCCCAATTCGGATTTATTCGGTAGTCGCAGTTTAGCCAGCAGAAGATAGACTGAGCCCAATGCAATCACTCGCCAACTTTTATATTCGGCTAATGTTAGTTAATCGTTAATTAGAACATTTCGATTTTGAAATTCGGCCAATATATTTGTACACGTTCCGCTTGTTGGCAAAAATAAATTGCATTTTTGATTGCTTCCCATACCTTTTGCACATCATTAAAATTTGTTATTTTTCGTGGGAATATAGACGACTCACCTGGATAGCACATTTTTTGCCAGCAAACTGGCCCGATGACAATTGCTTCAATAATAATTAAATGTCCGTCTGCATTTACAAGTTTTTAATGAAGTCTAATTTATGAAGTGCGAAATGATTGCATTTCAGAAACATTAATTACATTTAAAATTCGCCATTCGCGACTGATCACAATGGTAGCTGCATGTTTGAATTTGATTATTATTTTGGAGTTGATTAAAAAATTAATATACATTAACACCCGTATAAAAACATGATCGAGTAATCGTATAAATGTATAATCGTCGATAAGCACTACTTCCTAACTGGTGGGTATGCTCATCAATGTTAAATATATTTTTTATGCAAATAAATTTCAGTTTGCATTAAAATCAAAATTGCTTTATATGGATTATACATTGGTCGGAAAATATTAAAAATATATTAGTCAATGTTTTGAACCAGCGCACCTATTACGACACAGCTCTTCTAGACATTTTCAGATTTCATTGCGAATATTCATACAAATTATCTGCAATTTGCCATTTCAGGTTATACATAGATTTAAACCCACATTTCGAAAAACATATGAGCATAATCCGATTTATAGTGTAGGGTATAACGACCTCGGTTCAGTCGATGTTAACTTTACGTTTACTTGTTCAGATACTTCTTAAGTTTATTGATCATGATTCAGTTTCTTGATTATCTATGTTAATTCGATTTTTATAAAATATGAATTTTCCATATAATTTTTGATTTAATTAAAATGTACAAAACAACAGTGTGTGATGATACAAATGAACCAATTAGGTCTATAAAATCGTTAGTATTCAACTAATTACGATTAAAGTCCACAGTTTACTTCGAATTTGGACGAAGACTTAGGAGTTGATCTAGTTCTAGTAAAATATTGGGTCTTATTTGACCCTTAATAATTTCTTTAATGGTAGACATAACAATTCGAACCTTAACTTCTAACCATTTCATGACATATTTTTTTAATAAGGTGGTCACTAAAAATCGTAAATAACTTTTAGGGCCACAAGCCTCCGCTCCGCTCTATTTTTATTCAATTTTAATTACTATATTATAAACACATACGTTTTATTGATCATTCGAATACTAAAATGCAACACTTATTTAAATATTTTTGAAATAAACGGTTACTTATGTAAATAGTACCAAAACCTACATCTCTGATATTACTACATTTTTATACAACCAATCCTAGATTAGAATCTCGCTTCTGAAATGTAATACTTCAGCAAACCCAAATTTCAATAAAATCGCTACACTCCGAGTCTGGACCCCCGACTCTAATTCGTTTAAGCGAACACTGAAGGCTTAAGATCATTACCCACGCTTGCCCAAGTTGATGGACTAGATCATAAGCTGGAAGTAGTTCCTAAACAAGGAGTAGCCAACATTATTGTAAATATTGTTGTTTTGAGTTTCTTCAAACGATAATTGAAATATTTGAGCATCACAGTAAAAAATATTATTCTGCGACCGCCATCCAAATTAAAAAAAGGGATAGAAATGGTCGAAAATAATCGAGCTTAATACTAAAAAAGGCACCAAAAGTGCACCAACGAAACTGAAACAAATAAAAGCATTATAAAAAACCATTCTTAAGTAGCAAAAACCGACAAATTTTGGAACAATGTAAAGTTTTCTGATGAAAGTAAAACTAACATCCATAGCTCAGATGGATGTGTAAAAGTTTTGAGAGTGCTGTGAAATACGGTGGAGGTTCATAGATCGTTTGGAATGTATCAGTGCTCTTGGCGTTGACAATACTGTATTCATCGAAGCAATAATGAGCCTTTATGAGTATTTAGCTATTAAAAAAAATTTGTTAGGTAATGCCAATAAACTATGTCTTGAAAATTCAAACCTCTTCCAAAAGGATTACAATCGAATCACACTACCACCGTTGGGAGATATCGGTTGGAAAATAATGTTGCAAAACAGCTAAAACCCGGCATATTAGAAAAAAATGTTTTATGCACATATCAGACCAAAAATGCGTTCTTTTGAGGAAAGGCATAAAATGCCCCTAAAAGGGGTCGATTAGCGGGTAATTTGCCAATTCTATACCTTCACGTTTGATTTCGGGTTACAAAGCAAAAGATTACCCAAAAAATATTAAGTTGGACTTCAATTTAAGTTTATTACAATATTTCATTTAATTCTAAGTTTTTTTTCCAAAGAATGTTTCTTCAACAAATAGTTTTGGTTTTATTTTTAGACAGAGAATATATGCATGCATCCGCATATTTACTATTTACAATGAATACGCTATTCAGAGATATTGAAAATTGTATAATATTAATTGCAGACGAAGTCCGACTATTGTCGTTGTTTTTTCTTTGTTGCTAAATAAATTTTATAAAGATCAACCACTTTTAATTGGAGGCACGTCTGTATGCCGTTCTTATATAATATATTTCGTAGAGATAAGGTGTGTTAACAACAGTGTTGACAATTGTTTCAAAACAATAGCCAGTCAGACGCTGTCATAGCTCGTTGCGATTAGAACTGATTTTGTTTATACTATGATGTAAATTATGTGTTCGACTATAAACAATCTATTGGCATCACTGGGATACAATTGCATTAATGACAACAAAGTCAAAATATTCAGATTTGTGCGCTTAGTAAAATAAATACAATGTTTCTAACCTTTGTAATTCCTTTCAATCACAATGTGAAATGAATTTTAATGAAACTCATGGGGTTGTGATGAATTAAATATGTCTACTTTGTTTTAAATTATTATGTGGGAATTTCAGTCGAAACTATCTATATATCGGTATTTTTCTGTAAAATTAATATAAAAAAAATAAAATATTTTAATGAGGCCTACAATTTTTTGTTTGCGTATACTGGTGTGTTTAAAAATTTTTTTTATTGAAAATGCAATGATCCATTAACATTACATTACAAATAAATATTATAAAATACGATTTCTAAAAAATCTATATCTATCTTTAGAGACGTATTGGAAAATTTTTATAGACTTGTATTTAATTACATATTTGGTCTGTTCCCGTACTGCAAGAATCTACTATTTTTTACTACGATAACACTTTTTTCCTTTATGATATCGGAGAAAATAGTAAAAACTCGTAGGTCCTTGCAGTACGGGAACAGACCAATTATGTTCACAATTCTAAAAACGAAATGTTGATACATATAAATAGTGTCGCAACTAGAACGCAATTTAAAAATTTAGCAGCTTCGTAGTGTCATTGTTTGACATTTGAACAATTGTTATTGTTTGCTAGTAGAAGGTACGAGGTAAGTAAAATGGAGCGTTATTTATTTATTGTTATTTTTGCCATAATATTCGGCATTTATTCTGACGCCACGGTCGATTAATAAGAGCGGAATGCGACCATCGGCTGTTATGGCGGCCCACACCATTACCGGGGGCGGCGCTTGAGTTCTGGTGGCCAACCGAAGGTGCACATTTTCAGCTGACCTCTTTGGCAATTAAACACGATACTTTTTTTGTTTTTTTCAAACTGCTGGACAACGATTGTATTCTCATTGGAGAAAACCAAATTCTTCAGTTCACCACTTTCGGCCAAGCGAAGCAACTCTTTAGCTCTTTTGAGTCTATTTTCTTTCTGTTGCTGTGTAAGTTCTTGTACTTTTTGGAATTTCAATGGCTTTACTCCGAGCTCATTTTTCAATATTTGCCGAATGGAATATTGGGATATGTTCAGCTCACGAGCCATTGTTCGGACACTGCGACGCGGTTTTCGATCAAGTCAATTTTTTGTACCCTTCACCACACTGTGGTACAGGGTATTATGTCTTTGTGCATATGTTTGTAACAGGCAAAAATAATCGAGATAGACCCATGGTTCCTTTTGAGAATATGCATAGAATCACTTTCTAAGTCGATTTATGCATGTCCGTCCGTCCGTCCGTCTGTCAATGTTAAATTGTAAACAAAGTACAGGTCGCATTTATGATCCGAATTGGTTGAAATTTGGCATAGGTCACTTATTCGGCCCAAGAACGAACCCTATTGAAATTGGGAAAAATCGATTCAGATTTAGATATAGCTCCCATATATATATATTTAATCGATTTAATGTAAACGGTCCATATATATCTTTCGATTTGCACGAAATTTGGTGCAGCCTAATCATATAGGCCTAGAATGATGTCTGCCAAGTTTCGAGAAAATCGGTCCAGATTTAGATATAGCTCCCATATATAGTTTCTTCCGATTTCATGTAAATGGTGTCCCAAAGTCTCTATATGGGCAATATTGCCAATTTTTTAACATAGCTGAAGCGGAGGTTGCCCCCTTTATAACTCGGGAGTTACTTAAGTATATGAATAAAAGGGAATAGTTTTGGGTTAATTGATCTGTCGTTGCAAACTGCTCATGATATTGACCTCCAAACTTTATTTTGGTGGAAGCTGTGTCTACTTTAATGAAAAAAATGTGTAAAAACAGGTTGAGGCGAACCAGTTTTTTTTTATGTTCTCTATCGATTTGTGACTAAGCCACTCATTGCACGGTCTTCGTGTCAAAATAAAACTAGAAGCCAACAAAATGGGGAATACGCCCCTTATGTATCATTTTTCAAAATTTAAACTGCATCTATCTTTAAATGATGCTGACATTTTGAAGCTCGATTTTGAGTGTTTTTTGAATTTTACTTCTAGCTTTAATACGCAAACAGGAATATCCAAAAATCGATTATAAGATTATTGTAGT